TGTATAATATTTTTTCAATCACTATTACAGTTAAATTTCTTTTAATAAAACAGCATACTATAGAGTGGATTCTATACAATTTATCTTATAAAATTATTTAAATATTTTTAAAAAATAATATAAAATAAAATTTAAAAGTATTTAAATAATTTTACATGATAGTTTTTTATTAACAAAATTATCAAAGAATTATTTTACAAAGTAAATTGTATATATTTAAATGTTCTTAAAAAATATAAAAATAAAAGTAATATAAAATAAATTTTAAATATATTTAAATAATTTTATAAAATAAATTACCTTGTAAAATAATTTTTTATTCATAAAATTATTAAAAAATTATTTTGCAAGATAAATTGTATATATTTAAATATCTCTAAAAAATAATATAAAAATAAAATTAATAGTACTTAAATAATTTCATAAGATTAATTGCGTACAATGTAAAACAGTTTTATGAAAAATTATATCTTATGGCAAACAGCACTAGACTCCAACGGTTCAATGACATTTGCCACACCTGTTCACGGTCCAAAAAATAAGGTGCTTGTATATTCTCAATCTCCTTATTCTGAATATATATATATATATATATATATATAAATAATAATTAATTTTTATTATTAATAGCATTTCCAAATTAAGACTTAGGTGGTCCGAAACGACAAGCACCGTTGACGGTTTTATCAATCGGTTTCTTTCAACCTTGTGCTTCTACTGTTTCTCGCTAGAAACTGCATGAAACTACCCCAGATTACCTCTCGATCCTCGATAGCTTTCCAATTAACACCTTCTTCTGCTACCTTTAGATTGCTTACCTATGCGGATTTCCTATTCCTTTAAAGGTTTGCTATTTCCAGCCTTGATTTGCTGGGTTTGCTTTCTGAAAATAACAAGTAAGGAGTTGCTTGCTATTTCCGCTCATGATTTGCTCAGTTGGTTCTCAATTGTTTTCATCTTCTTTTTTTATTTACATAACTACAGAAAGAATTCCTTTTGCTTCTTTTTTGCTAAATTTTTACAAGAAGAATTCCTCTTGCTTTCATTACCCAAAAATGAAAAAGGGAAGAGAGTATATCAGCACTTTCAAAAGCAATTGGATATCATAATGATGTCGATCTCTTTTCACTTTCCAAAAACATCACCACATTTAAATGCATTTGGGTTAGGGTTGATTCTACTTTCTCTCAAGTGAAAAAAGATAGGTTCTTGCGTCATGCTTGCTTGCTACGGTAACAAAGAGAAGGAGAATTTGAAATCTGAATTTTGGTTTCTTTTCTCTTCGAGAAAGACTTCAGAAAGAAGGAAATGTTTCATCTTTCTAGAGTCTTTAAAAATGGAAAGCTGTATGATTGAAGTGCATAATTCTTTCTGTTTTGAGTTTTGGCTGTGTGTTTACTCGAGAAATAAACAGAGGTTTTCATTTGCTATATCTTTTCATGTGCATTAAGTAAAAAAATATGAACTTACAATGCTTTTGAAAATTTTTTATGTTTCTAGGCGGTAATGATTATCATATATGGAAGAAGCATGAAAACATTAACTACTGCCATGCATAAGCAGATGTGAAGCTGGTATGTCTAGCATTCTCTACTTTGCGATTGTTTTCCTTTTATTTTTATTTTTAATGCAAGGTTGGTTACCATGCTTTTCATTTTAGTTGAATATTATTTCATTTTGATTCAAGTGCATCTATCATGTTTGTTCTATATAATATTCTTGGAACATGACTTTCAAGTGGACAATGATATGAAGAACAGTGACTCTTGTCAGCTATGAGAGGCCAGCCAGCATTTTGTTGGTTTTGCTGTTATTAAGGAACAGCCAAAGCTTATATATTAAAATGTAACATCAAAAAGCAGGTGAGGTAATGGAGAAAATAGTCTTAAAAGCTCCATGAATTGCAAATCATCTTAGCTTCTCCTAGATGTCAAGATTATTATCCTTAAACTAATAACCAAACATCATTAAAAGCAAGTATGAGGTTAAAATCTCCCTTAAGAAAATTTGATTAATTTCCTCTGTTTTTTTTTTTTCCAATTTATCTATGAAAAACAATTAGAATTAGTTCAATAGCCTTCTAGAGCATGGGAAAGAGTTAACAAATTGATTTAAGTTTAACTTTTATTAAATTTAGCTATAAGCTTTTTAGACTTTGTTTAGATGGGTAGCCATTTTGAAATTTTGAATCCTAGCCCAAGGTTTGTTCTATTACAAGTTCCTTTTACCTCACACTAATTGAATTTGTCTCTTCTTTTCATGTTTCAGTATGCTTTCCGCTCTTGAAGGGCAAGCACTGTAGAATGTACTTTCTATTCCTTGCTTTGAATGGACACACTTCTGAAGTTCATTTTGTCTTCATGTCTCATAGACCCAAAAAAGGCATCTAGCTAGGATAATGCTGATGTAGGTTTTTATGTGAAAGTCAGCAACTACTCCTAGCAACAATGTCCAACAAATTTCCTCACCTGCATGGCAAAAAATAGTTTGTGCATTATGGAAAAAATAGTCTGTGTTGGGTTGATCTTGCTCTCTGCTTTCCATGCGCAGGGATCAAAACAAAAGAGGTTAATAAGGAGGAAACAAAACGATGGTTGAGAATCTGGTGGTGAACTGAAGAGTTTTTCAACGAGTTCCACGGAAGAAGAAGCTCACTTTGAGATATGGCTAAATTCCTTCGAGATCCTTGTACAAGATAGTATTTATTTTTTATGATGCATATGAAGAAACAAATTCATGAAGGTGATGTATTTAATTTTTATGATGCATATGCAGATTCTCTTATAGAAAGGAATTTAGAATCAGCTTTGTGACTATTTGGGAATATATATTTTTTTTTATCAGGAAAATGAATTTATTAATATTGGAGCACAAGGGGTACTCCTACCCATTACAAATAAGAAACATCTGCTAGCATGGTAGAATGACAAAAATAAAAGCATCCACAACAAGCTGTAGAGCAATTAGCATCTCAAAAATCCCTACACATATTCAGGGTAACGACTTCATCATGCATATGACAGCTATTCTTATTGTTGCCTCTCAATGAGGATAAAAGCCACGTACCTCTCTAGACTTTAAGCTGTACCCATTCCTTTCTGCTGTTTATGGAACAATTTCTGCATTTGTTTATATTTTCTCACTGATAGAGCACATTCAACTGGTTTTAGCTTCCATTCATGGAATGAAAAGACACACCCATGAATCTTGTTCTTAATCCAGAAAAATGATTTGGCTTGGACCATATCCATTAATCTTCCTCTAATGTTATTTCCATTGTTAAACACCTCACCATTTCTCCAATACCATAAATACCATGAAGCCACAAGGAAGATACAAGCACCCATCTCCTTCCCTATTATCTTACCCAAATCATTTACAAAAGTGTCTGCCACACTTAGCACGTTATTAGGCATAACAGTCACCATGCCCCACCACTGCAGCACCTCTACCCAAAGAATCCATACTTCCTTACACATACTAAACAAGTGATTAACTTCCTCCACCTTGTCCTTACACAAAACACATTTTAATTCCTCTTCCTACAAAGGTACCCCTCGCTTCCTAATATTCCACTTAGTTGGAAGCCTATCAAGGCATAATCTCCACCCAAAGAAAGACACTTTAGAGGGTACTAATTTACACCAAATTAACTTACTCCACTGCTCGTCTAGAACACACTCTGTTGGGGCTAAAAAATCGAAAGCATTCTTCACCCCGTATCTACCCTCCGAATCATGTATCCACCTCCAACAATCTTCCACGCTCTTCTTTAATTGTAGCCTCTCCAATCCTTCCCTTAACTTCTCCTCCTCATCCTTTTCTCTCCTTATTCTCTCTCTCCTCCATTCCATTTTCCAACACCATTTGTCTCCCTCCCATACCCCCATATCACTAATCTTACACTCCTTGTTCATAGACAATTCATACAATCTTGGATATGCAACCCTTAAAGTTTTATTCCCTACCCATGGTTCACTCCAAAAGCTCACTCGATTCCCTTCCCCTACTTCCCACTTAAACCCCTCCACCAACATATTTCTTAGTTTCATGGATCTCCCCCCTATATTAATAATATCCCTCCATATTTTAGACGTCCTCCGGTTCCCGATTGCTGTAATGTCCACCTCCTCCCACTTGCCCCCATAATATTTCTCCTTAACTATCCGTTTCCATAAGCTCTCTACACCATCCCCAAACCTAAACCACCACTTTCCTAAAAGAGCCCAATTTTTCCTACGTAAGTCTGCCACCCCCAGTCCCCCATTTAGCTTACTACAACATACATATTCCCATTTCACCCAAGAGATCTTTTTTTGTGACTCAACCCCTCCCCATAAAAAGGTTCTCTGTACACTAATCAATTCAGCAAGCACAGAATTTGGAATTAAAAACAGTGACATATAAAAAATAGGTAAAGCAGAAAGTACCGAGTTGAGCAGAGTGAGGTGGCCACCAAAGGATAGCGAAGCAGCTTTCCAGACAGCGAGTTTGGCTTAGAATTTATTTATCAAGGGCTCCCATAACTTCTTTCTCCTAGGATTTCCATCAATGGGCATTCCTAAATAAATGAAAGGAGATTTCCCAACACCACAACGTAGCATGCCGGCTGATCCTTCTACCCATCTTACTGGCACATTGTATCCATAAATGCTGCTCTTATTGAAATTAATTCATAAACCAGACATTAGTTTGAACCATCGCAAGATTGTTTTAACCATAAATACGTTCTTTGTGTCAACTTTTCCCATAATAATTGTGTCATCTGCGAATTGGAGTAAAGAACTTTCTAACCCCCTCCTACCAATTTCTACACCTCGAAACAACCCCTCTGTCACTACTTTCTGCACCAATCCATTTAACCCCTCTCCAATCATCAAGAATGAAAGCGGAGATAACGGATCACCTTGTTGTAATTCTTTTTCAACCTTGAACTCCTCTGTCGAGCTGCCATTAATTAGAACTAAAATTCTAGAAGTCGATAAGCATTCCATGATCCAACTTCTCTACTTGGTTCCGAAACCCATTCTATCCATCATCTATTCCAAAAATGACCAATTCACACAATCATATGCCTTTGCAAAATCAGCTTTAAAAACAAAAGCCTGCTGTTTCTTTCTTTTTACTTCCTCAACCACTTCATTCAACACCAAAACGCAATCAGCTAACTGACGCCCTCCCAAAAAAGCAGATTGATTTTCACTAATAATCCCCGGCAGCACAGATTTAAGTCTATTAGCTAACACCTTTGCTAACAGTTTATACACACATCCAATTAAGCTAATGGGTCTATAATCCTTTAATTCCACAGAATTAAACTTCTTGGGAATTAAAGTTAGGAAAGATGAATTCAGCCCACTAACCAATCTACCATTCTGATTAAATTCAGAAAAAAAGCTCATAAAATCTTCCTTTAAATTATTCCATGCAAATTTAAGGAAAGTAAAGTTGTACTCGTCTGGGCCCAAAGCTTTTGAGCCTTCACAACTTCGTAACGCTTCCTCAATTTCTTCGGTGGAGAATGGTCATTCAAGCCATTGATTTTCCTCTGTAGAAATTTGCTTGAAATTAACCCCATAAGGCTTTGGTATACTCCACTTATTTTCTTGAAATAGCTTGCTAAAATAATTCATCGCCTCCTTTTTAACCTGTGTTGGTTCTTCCACCCAGCTTCCATCACACATTAAGCCTGTGATATGATTTTGGGCCTTTCTACCATTTGCAACTCTATGAAAGAATCGCGTGTTTGCATCTCCCACACGTACCCAATTGCTTCTTGACTTCTGTTTCCATATCACTTCTCTCTTCCTCATTATTTCCCACATTTTCTGAAATCCTTCTTGTCTCTGCAGAATCTCAAATTCATCCAGATCAAGCTCCTCATTCTTCATATCAACCTGCTCAATCTGTTTAACAACCTGTTCATATTAAGCTTCCATGTCTCCAAATACATCTTGATTCCATCCCTTTAAAAACTCTTTTAACCCCTTTAACTTCTGTTTGCATTTGTACCCTGCAAACCCATCTACCTCCATTACTCTCCATTTCTCCTCGATTATCTTCTTAAAATCTGGATGGAGTAACCATGCATCCAAAACTCAGAATGGCTTTGGTCCCCAGTCAGTTGTTCTTGATTTCAGCACAATTGCACAATGATCCGAGATGTTCCGTTTCAAGCCCTGTTGCACCCAATCTCTACCCATTCTGCACATCTCTGCATTCATCAAAACTCTATCTAGTCTACTCATGGCTGTACCATCTGGCTTGTACCATGTAAAGCGCCTATTTACCATTTTTGATATCTATTAAGCCTGTTGATAGAATAAACGCATCAAACTCCCTCATATCTGGGCTCTCCCCTGTTCTTCCCCTTTTTTCCTCAAGACATCTTACAGCATTAAAGTCTCCCGCAATCAACCATCGTCCTCCCTCTTCTGTGATCATATTCCTTAGCTCATCCCATAGCTTGAGTCGTTTCTGTCTATCATTTGGACCATACACATTCACTAGGTTACACTTCACCTTATGTATTCCCCACTCCCCTGTTATTCTCA